TTATTTTCACATTTTTCTAGGGGCGTGTTTCTGCCTACGCAGAATATGTTACATACACAAACTCACGAGCTCTCCCAGAATACTTCATCACAGTTGAAACAAATTCAGATACATACAAAAGCAACCGGTCTACTGTTAAGGAAACCAGACCAAAGAAACCCCCAGAGACACTGACTATGCCTAAGCCCACGTCTACATCATCTAAAGAACCACCAACGAAAGTGAAACCTAAACCTAAACCAAAGACTGCATTAGCAGCTACTGCTGCAGTAAGTAGCCCAACCGATACTAAACGTATGTCTCCTTGCCTAAACCAAACCATAACCACTGAAGGACAGGTTAGACCTACAACAACAAGCAGTGACATGCATGCGAAAAGCAAGTCCACTGATATGCCCCTAACATGGGGTAAAATTACTGACGACGAATTTGAAAACAAAATCGCAAAACTTCGTGCAACTTTGCGGAAGAAGAAAATGGGAAATGCTTCCCCAAAAGCAGGTGATTTTACACCATGAAACACATTTTAGTCAGTAAGGTATCCAGAGGAGCTTGGGCTTACTAAAACCTTTCTTTTTACTTAATAAATAAATAAAATGTCAGCTAAGGGATTGGATCCATGAAGTGGGTGTGGGTGTGTTGGAGACGTCAGTCCCCTATGTCAGGAGAAAATGAATAAAATCAATAATAAATGAAAATACATAAAATCAGATGGAAGTTCAAGATCTTAACCACTTTAATCTTTTATCTAAATGATTTCCACGCCATGATAGAGATGTTTTAACTGCGACTGAGAGGAAAGGGAGCACTATTTCCCCCACACCTAAATACGTCTCTTGGCCACAGAAAGACATTGTTCAATTTTGTCTTTACTCATACACTTATAAAGGCAGCTCAGAATTCTATGTAGCCTGTGTAGGCCTACATTGAGAATAGAGTATTGTTTTGTACATTACTGTCACTGAATGTTATCTTTTACGTCCGTGGCGGTATCCATAAAACAATACATTTATATACAAAATTTTTTCTCATTAAAATTATGTAGAACTAATGTTACATATTTTGTCTTGTAGAAGGATCTGGATGATCAAAGGCAGCTTTCAACGAAGAAAGTTGAACTTGAAAAAAAATTGGTAAAATTTATGGAAGTTACTCAATGCCGAGACGAAGATAAAGGAAGAGAAATTTTAAGTGACTGTAACCTTAATTTACATAACGCAATTGGGCAGTATTTCAGCTCATAATGAGTCTAAGGATACTTCTACAGTACCCAGGATTATTCATATATTTAATGTTATAATATGTAGACTTTAGGCCTATTTGCTTCATGATTTTTACAGGCTCATTAACTTACACATGCTTATAAATTAAGCCTATGTTATGCTACATAATATGTTAGTGGAGTGGAAATCTTTTGCCACTGTGTTTAATGACACACGGAGACATCTGACGAAACTTCGAGAAGTGATGCGGGCAACGTGATTCTATATTTCTAACTTCATTTCTGAAATTCGGAGTATAGAAACATAAAATTCCGATACTGTAGTCCAATTAAATTTCGTTGATCTGCTAGCCCCGCTTTCTGAGAAAAGTTGTGGTATCCATCCTCAGACTTTTCACATTAAACTTGACTTGCGCATCGTTAACGAAAAGCAATATGAATGCACAGAACTATTATAACCCATTTCGTATTACTCGCTATATTATTAGACTAAAATTACCATTGTTATTGACTGTCCACTTTGAATATTATAATATTGAATCCTCTTGTCTTCAAGATGTAATGTCTATTCGTTTTGTCTGTTTTTGTCTCTGCAAAAATTGCCCTATTGGTTTTTACATTTTGATTCGAATTATCATTATGATAATTTGCATATGTAGTGAATGTTAGCCATTTAAAATAGGTTTACCGGCATTAGTCCGCCGACAGGATTAAGAATCAAAACGTATTTTGTCCCTTCACATAGGCCTTGTGTTGGTGTTTGGATTCCATAAGGGGCCCGTAACCACGATTCCTTATGGGGCGGGGCTCCTTTGACAGAATGATCCAGACCATAAATCGTACCATGGTGGAGTCCATGAGAAGAGCTTATGTGCTGGTCAGGGTCAGATTCTTCAGAACCCGAAGCATAATCTAGCATAAATCATTTTGAATTTCAACATCATTTTTATGGATGGGGGACGGGGTGGGTTGTGGGTGGTTTGCGCAAAAATTGAGTTCTGCCAAATCATAAAATCCCTGGTTACGGGCCTTTGTATGGTGTTCCTTTTATTTTGAACACAATTTTACCTGAGGAATGCTTGCCAAATAAAGTACTGTACACAATTGTATTTTGCCTCGTCATCTTCTTAATGACATTTTACGTTCCGAAATCACCTTCAGGGAGTGTACACTGTTTATAAAATAAATTGAATTAGTAAGTGTATCGCGTTGTATTAACACAATAACATTTAGCAATGTAGCTATACGTCTGCAATGGTTTAGTCTGTGTGCTCCACTCTAGTGTTAAACCCCAAGGAGCAGAAGAATGTTTGTCAATAATAAAACATCAAATGAACAGGTACATAATTGTTGTAGGCGTTTGCATCCTTAGTCGGATATTGAAAGCCAAACCAAACACTATTTCTATTACGATATTGTTATTATCACCATAAAGATATATACTACTGTAGGCCTACTTGTGCTTGAAAAAATAAATTTAACAGTTTAATATTTTGTGTGATTTATGTGTCTAAATAAAAGAAAATGATGCATAAATGATAGCATTCGTAAGTGGCTTACATTTACATGTCAACAAATTTTAATATTTGTAGTCTAAAAAGTCATGAATCATGATCTTGATCTGTGTTCCATTGGAAGACAACGCAACAAGTGGGCACTAAGATTTTCCAATGTATATCAATATATGCATATCCGATGAATATCAATCATACTTAGCAACTGGCCAATCAGAACTGGGCCTGGAATACGCGCATGTCCTACAAACACACAAGGCTGTCGTTTTGTCAGACCTTATTATTCTAGGGCGGGTCTTAGCGGAACGGTGTACTTAATGTTGAGAATCCAGATGTTACTAGTGAATTTTATAGTATTGTTTTTAAAGATAAAGCTTAAATGTTTCCCATTGAGGGGTTTGCGTTACTGGACGAATTTGTATATAAGGAATTAGCGATATTAATCATGACATTGACAAAAACCGAGCACTGTTACCGCACGTCAGGTACGGTACTCCAACCCCGAGAGAGTTTACTTCAGACAGCGTCATTAAAAATCTGATTTTATACCCGTTTGGAAATAAAATGTGTCAAAATGTATGTTTAAATTATTGGAGATTAACCTTTGGCATTTACAGTGAAAGTAATCTGATAGAAACCTGACAAACGATATTTATGTCTATGTCAATAAGTATTTTACTGTATGAATGTCTTGTTCTTTTTCTCAGGGTAGGCTTAAAATAAATTATCGTCAAATCTAAAGTAGTAATTCTCTGCACGCGTACGTTGAGCCATAGACTTGCCACAAGTCTCTAATTTATGGATTTTTCGTAGTACATTAGCGCATTTCGGAAAGCGCCACCAGCGTCAGTTTATGTTGAGAAACTTTTGATGAGCATTAGGGTGAAACTTGTAAAAGAGTGAGTCAAATCGAATGCAGACCGCTGGCCGTGACAAGCATGACGTAATTTTTAGGATGCCGTATTTGGCAATAGGGTGAATGTTATGACGGAAGGTCAACCAATCAAACGGTTCTCGTTTTGGTGCCACGAATGTAGAGAGAAGTCGGGAAGTTGGGACATGGTACCGTACGTGCAGGTGTGTGGAATATCGTGGTACATTGTTAATGGAGGAAAAGAAAACACCAACCAAAGCGCCAAAAAATCTGTATTCCAGAGAATTTTTTGTTCTGCGCACAAGATCGAGTGCGTGGAAAAGCTGCAGTCTAGAAAGTATTTGGTTTGCGAACCGCCTTAGGTTCACGCGAGGCTCAGTATTTTAAAGACTAGAACATTTATCAGCCCACCACTAGGCCTAGGCCGACGGAGCTGTCATGCTCTCGCAACTGCGACACAAAATTGAAGACAATGTATACCTGGATAAGCTATGGGCGAGTTGTCGCGGGTACGTTTACGTATTTTTAAAAACAAGTGAATGTCACCAAAAAGAGGAGCACCGTCTGTATTCCAAAGAGCAAAGAGAAATTTGATTAGCACGGCGAAACATGAATTAACCACCTACAGCTGGTGTAGTGGACGGGACGAGCTGGGCCTATGAGATTCGTCTCTAGATAAAATGATGATGGTACCAACGAGGCCAGAACTAATGTAAAGGTGCGTCAGTCTTTAAATTACTTATGAGAATTATGTGTTTATCTTTCATTTATTGTTAAAATAAATGAAAGTGAATGACAGTAAGATAAAATGTAAACCATAAAACTACTTTTTAGGAGGGCTATTGTTTGTTAAAACAAATGAATTTACCAATACCAGATACCATTTTTTTAGTAATTTTAAAAATACACCTTGAGCTTAATTTAAATTTGGCTAGGACATAGTTGGACAAACTATTTATAATTTTTTAAAAAATGATATATTATTTATAATTATAAAATGCCATTGTCTTTAATTCACAGGTTTATCTCATACAGTTTTTATCATATACAGTACTGATGTTGCAGAATTGTTGATAATTTTGTGATTAAAATTGATATACTGTTGTTTAGATCTATTTATTTAATTGTTTTGCAGGAATGGATATTCTGTGAATAGTCCAGCCGGATGATCCCCACTGACTTCCATCAAGTTATGAAACTTGAGACACTTAGCATCTGATGTAGAAGCACAAATTCCTGTATACCAAACCCAGTGTCATTTCGATATTAATTGTACTGAAATATGCTTATGATAATTAACAATTAAATACAGTATGATCCTTTGTATTCTTTTGCATTGACGTTAAATTGACTGGTAATTAATATAGTAAATTGTTTGTTAATTAGTGAAAATATTTTTTTTTCCTGAAGCAGTTGATAATATGTATGGTAAAACACTGAAAGATCAACAAATAAAGTTTGAAATGTAAAATCTGTGCTTTGGATCATTTTTTGAGTTTCGTACAATGACAGTTACAATGTATTTTAATCCAAATACATGCAACTAAATTGTTTTCTCATTACCTGCAATGTAGCCTCTTTATTTTTACAAATTAAACAGAATGATTATATTTATTGAAAAATAAATCTGATAGCTATGGAGATCAGAACAATTAAAAGAATTGCACATTTTCTCCTTTTTGTCTATTTGTTTAATTTATGGCCTAATAGAATGCTATAAATATTGTTTGTAAATTTGGAGTTGCATATTACTCACTGTAAGAAATAATACCAAAAAAAAATTGATACTAAGGGGTGAAATGTGTTGTGATTAATTTAAGATTAAAATATAAATGTATTGAAAAACAAATGGATGTCATGTAATTAAATCATAGGCCTCCTTTTGGCCAACATACTGTACAATGAACAATAAATTAAACCTTTCTCATTAAACAATAATTTCTTACTCAGCTTCTCATCAAATGTTAATTAAAGACAAAAAAAAATTGATATATTTATTCATTGTTTAAATTTCGGAAATACAGCTTTATGCAAAGGATGCAATTGTCCATAGATACGATGATATTCACCCATTCGTCGTACGTAGCAAATTGAGGTTCCTAGCTCTTAGCCAGTTTGAAAAATTTAATATTTATACAGTATATTATTATTATTTAATGCTATATTAACTACAACAATTACATTACTGTATGTCAAAACTAATATGTAGGCCTATTTCAAATAGATGTCTGCAAACCCGACGTGAATATTGACTATTGTGCTCTCTCTAGGCTAGGCCTAAACCTGATTGTGCTGAACTCGGCGAGAAAGCATGAGCTTGGCTGTATCATATCGATAATAATACTGTATTTATTAACTGGCGTGAAGTTGGTTACTTTCCATGCAGCACACTTCTGTTGTGAAGGTGGGTTTAAATATTACCTCCATGGTTGGACGAATTGTGATAGGAGCCTAGCAATCCTCGCGGTGCACAAGCTGAGCTGACCTGCACCTGAATCCTCCTTATCATTAGCTGGGTCGAGGGGAAGCATAATTAGCATATTTAATTTATGCGACGGTAATTAGCCAATCGGAAATCAAAGTTGTTAAATACATCAGACATCACGAAATCGTGGTGCCTGCACTCGAAATCCTCACTGTTTTCCCAGTCCCTAATCCCAGAAAAAGTATACTATGGAACGCCATGCAAATAAGTAATATGGAACGCCATTCGTGCCAAAATCGATTTATTCTTAAGCATTTCAACTGATTAAGACAAAGATTAGGGACTGGAACCCAGTCTAGTTGAGCCACTAACGCGCGTCCCTCTTAGTTCGTTTTCAGACTATTAGACCACGAACTATTTCTGGTCATAAATAAATCGCAACACATCCGAGTGTAGTCCGAAATCACTTCTTAATGTATTATCATCTTCAATTCTAACAATTTTTAATGATAATATTAATTAGTTTTTATTACTATTATTATCAATAATATCCTATTATTGCCTTTAAAATGCATTATGCTACCTTGTTGCGCAAACTCTAATAATAGAATAACATTACCGTTCTTTTGTCGGTAATTGTGCATTATGTACATTAAATTATTTTTGTCAGGCGTGTTTTTGAACTGAAATAGAATTCTTTGAATCCAAGTCATAATTATCCGTCTAGTCTTTTTAACCACTCATACAATTTGACATTTTATTAGATGTTTCTAGTTGTTTTTGCAAAAAAAAAAAAAAAAAAGAACAATGTAGGCATATTTCAAGAGACATGGCATTTTAGCTTTCTTTTCACCCACTGTTCTTTTGCAGCGGATTTAGTGGTGGCACGAGTGAGGAAACACGTTGGTGCGAGTGGAAAGTATTTCTTGCAGTTTTACTGTTACACTATCCTCGTTTTAAATATTTTCAAGTGTTTTTATATGTGGAAAAGACAAGCCAAACCGTCGCAAACGTTATTAATACAGGGTTAATCAGTAAAATGAGAGCTATAAAATGGTAAAAGAAACATTTAAATCCGACATTTCCTTATGAAGTTACAAACAGTTGAACACACAGCTGTTTAAAGAACAATTTGAGTAATTAACTTTAAAGATTATGATTTCGGGCATTTCTCAGGCAGAAACCATCACCAAATTGTTAAAAAAAAATTGTTTTAGCATTGAAAATGGGGAAAATAACAGCATATTATGATGTATATATATCTATAAAGGTTCAATAAAATAGATTTCAAAAATGTGACATTTCAGAATGTACCGTATTGGCCATTATCTCCGAAACATTATTTGTGACTGGTTTGGCTGGTCTTTGCTATATAAAAGCCAGGCTCCAGAGGCAATTTTGATTTGATATATTATATGTTGTGCAAAAAAGGACGTAACTACTGTTTCTCACAGTTTTGAAATATACAAAAATCTGTATCTTATTAATAAATGCAATAGTTTACATTCTAAAATATTTAGGTAAAGCAACAATTTAAATATTTTTGTTTGTGAAATATAATAATGTTTGATAGAATAAGTCTTCTTGTTGTCATTGTGGAATGGTCTCAACTTCCTGGACTATGTGTGAATTCAATTTACAAGGAATTCATATAACACTCATTATGTCACTGTAAACAAAAAAAAGCCAGTAATTAAATAAATATATTATATATGATGTCTTATAGATTACATAACATCTGACAGCTTCTTGTTTTCATTTGTATCAACTTGCAAATACGTTTATTTCCAGGTGTAAGAATAGAATGGACAATACTATTACAAAATGAGTCTAGGAGACACATGCAGAAACAGCTTAACACCATACATTATTCTCTTTTTGTTTTTAAATGGTTTGATCACTAGGATAGGAACAAATCAAAATGGCGTAAATTCCAAAAATCTTAATACAAATAACAATGTAATAATTCTTATCTATACGATTGGACGTTAAAATATGTTGGAATAAGACGGGTTAGGCCTTCGTATTACAGACTGCTGCTACAATTGCTTTAGGAAAAACCAATACAACACAAATACAGTACTAATATCAGTATCAATGTAGAACATGATAAATGTGTCATCAATATTATTTATCACCATTGGAATCATTTTTATTATCAACTAATTGTCATCATCATTGTACTCATCATCAATTATAATAATAATCATCATCATCTTCAACACCATACTTGTTCATACATCCAATTCTATTTATCAGCATGATCATTTAATCTTTAATTTAACATATTCAAATCTTTTACTTGCTTTTATTAATCGACAAAATGAAAAATTAATTGGTGAAATATGGTGATCATCCTAGTTTGTGGCATAAGGTGGATTTGGGATAATCGGTTTGCTTAGATACACCAACCAGACTGCTTCAATTATTAGCAGTGATCTTGGATACACCAATAAGAATACTTCTAACAATAACTGTGATCTTGGATTCATCAATCAGAATGCTTCTAGTATTAGCAGCGATCTTGGATACACCAATCAGATTGCTTCTAACAATAACTGTGATCTTGGATACACTAATCAGAATGCTTTGCTTCTAGTATTAGCAGCGATCTTGGATACACCAATCGGAACAAAAACTGTTATCTTGGATACATCGGAATACTTCTTACACTAGTATTGACCAGTAAAACCTGACCATATGAGTTGATAGTAAATGCATGTCTTCTACATTAGAAGATGAAGTACAATTGCTCAAGATGAGTTGTTGCCTGACTACAGTCCAGCAAACTGCAGTCCAGCTTGGCTAGGTGTGTGACTGCCACATGTAACTACAATACACAGGAACAAACCAATTGAGAAAAAAAAAATTCCTTCAAACTTTCCTTTAAACAAACAGCAAATTATAGAGCATATCTGTGCTGTTCTTTGGACACTTCCTCAGTAAAGCACTTAGAACTAAGACCTGTAAAACGTATGGTAACATCCAGAGAATTTGACAGCCTGAAAATCAAAATAAACTGCATCTCATAGATGCCCTGTAAAATCACAAACATTTAACACGTGGAAGCAGGAACCAAATTCCATAGAGATACATGCTATTTCTAGTTTTATTCTCTGGGATTTCTCAACAGTTTTGTTCAAACAGAGTGCAACCACTTGTGTATCATTTTTAATGGGAACAATTACAACATGGGCACATTCGTGCTGATCGCCATCTGATCAGCGTGTCCCTACGAAATGTTTTAGTCCTCAAATTGCTTGAGGCCATGAGCGAGAGCAGCAAACTTCTGTGGTCATACTTGGCATTTTTATCTTCCATAATATTATCTTATATTTAATGTTTTCTTCTTAAACAATTGGAATTGTTCATGAGCCACTGAGGCTGAGGGAACTGGAACTACTGGGAGGGGGCATCATAGTATGGCTGTTATTGGTTGGAGTGGCTTTGCGCGAGGGTGGCATCAGGTAAGGATCTCGAGCCAGTCGTAGCACATCTATACGATTGTCTTTCTTGTATTCTAAACAACGACGAACAAAATCCTGCAAGTATAAGAAGAACAACCTCACTTATTATACTATAATCAAAATTAAAATAATCTCAGTCTTATAGGGCATGTGGTCGGTGGTGGTAATGATGTTGATAGTGCTGGTAATTACAATGACAACTATGAAACTGCCAAAGGTGACGATAAATGACAATGATGCCAAAGAATGAAAGGTAATAATACCATCTTTTAATACTTGGATATCTCGGCTAAATATGTTAACCCAGCGTTTTTACTTCACAGCCTACTTGGGATTCTAGGCACCATGCCTCGGCCCAGCCTCGCCAGGGACCAACTTAGAAAAACCTGGTGAGACATTCTGTCTCACAAAAATTACCAAATTACAAAAACAAATCTTTTATTTTTATCTCCTTTTCGTGATATCATGATTTCGCAGCCCTTAAAAAATGTTTGCCAAAAAATGGGGTTGAGGCCCATAATATATGGACCAACATGCTACCCAAACCCTTGGATTGCACAAATGTCTATAATCCGTTACCTAATAATAACTGAGCCACACTGACCTTAGCTTCTTGGCTAACTGGTGGTTTACTTGGAAATTGCACTACTGTGGCTTTCAGGATTGTATTCTGTTCCAAAATGGATGCTTGAGACAGATTGTGACCAAATGGCTGAAAAAAAGGACAAAATATATATATAGGAGTAATGTCTTTCCCTACCTGATATGTTATACTGAATACTCAGTATGTTCCAAAATAATAAATAAAATTTGAAAGAGATTCGGGTGGGAATCGAACCTACAATAACTAGCCTGGTGTCATAACCGCTAAAGTACCAAGCCTGCGCTTAGTGATTAGTGTTGAATCTGATCCCCAAGTAGCAGTGGGCACGGTAAATGCTATTTTGCATACACACATCAAAATAAAATAAATATAATTATAAATATGTTTAGCAACTATTGAAAAAGTTTAGAAAATGAAATTGATAAGAATTCTAAGTTCCTTAACACTCTGCCCGCTAAACACGGAGATCTCTGTGTTTGGTAAATCAACACTTGACGCCAAAGACGTAGATCTCTGTGTTTCAGTTTTTTTGCGGAATCCGATAGATGGAGTAATTAACATCTCAACGAAATTTGATTGACAGATGCTTGTTTATAGATATCCAGATTTACACGAGCAGTGCGCATCAGTGACTTGGCCTTTGAATGCAGCATTTCCCTCTTCCATTGGGAGCGAAATACAGAGGCTTTTACAACAATTTCCCCGCCATGTTCCATGAAATAGATTAACACTATGAATATATGATTCATTTGCATACCGCCTACCCTGAATTCTCTTTCTTAAAGAAGGTTGATAGCAAAGAAAATCTTCGCCAACTGGGTAAGTCTAGCCGCCATTGTCAAAGGTTTTCGTGACTTTGTGGGCGGGGCTTCGCGTCCTTGTTACTGACATGCACTTTGAACACTACATTCAGTCTGGACTGTAAGTATTTCACTATTTGTTTGTTAAATTGAGCGTAGCAGTATTGATGTACTTTCAGGAAATCACGATTATCTCAGCTTCGTTGCGCAAAATTGTATAAATCTCCAAAAATGAGTAATTTTCATTTTACTGTTAAGAGTCACAGATTGTGATTAGAATAAAGTGTGTCGTATTATTGTAAAGCTAAGATGTTTGTAGTTCTTGTAGTATTCATTACATGTCAATCTGATCACTTACGCACTCTCAACGAGCTTCAGAAAAGTGTTAAAATTCGCGAAAAAGTCTGGAAGTGGCTGATACTATTGTTTCAAACCCCTGGAAGTCAGAGTGTTAAGAAGTACAATAATGTAAACTACAGGCTATATTAGGCCTATATATCTTTGGTGCAAGTCCTCTAGGCCTATGTATTTTAACCATGTAATTTAGCAAATGTACTGCAAATTGGTTTTACTCTCCTTCATAGTGTATAAAACTAACCTTTTTGCCATAAAGACATTGATAGAAAATTACGCCAATGGACCATACATCTACTTTGGATGATATTTTTGGTGGTCCTTTCCCAACAACAAAACATTCTGGTGGCAAATACCTGCAGCAAGGAATATCAGAAAAAAATTTATATCATAATTACACGGTGCTTTTCCCATTTACTTATTCCCCAACCACATCATTAGCCTTGTCAGCTGTTTCAACTTTAGACAGTACAGCTGTGTCTATGGTTGTTGGAGTGTAATAATTCTGTCTTTATTGTACAGTAAAATATATACCAATATTAGGAGTTCTTAGAATTATAGTTAATAAATATGACAATATAATCTGTGTCTTGTTTCTGGTCTTCTTACCAATATGTTCCAGCACCCTGTGACGTAAGGTCCATCCCACCTTCATTGTGGTCAAAGTTTTCTTCATCCATAATTTTTGAGAGACCAAAGTCTGTTATTTTAATTTCCCCGCTTGTTGTTCCGGAACTTAATAAAATGTTACCTTCAAAAAATCATTTGTTAATATTATCCTAAGCATTAATAATTATTATCAGCATCATTTTAATTATCATCCTTATAGGGCAAGTAACAAGTTTTTGTCTGTAATAATACAAATTGAATTTGATTCTGCATAAGTTCAAGTATCATGCTTATACTAATTATTATCATTAAATTTGAAAACTTAAAAACCAGAAACTTTCGCGAAACGAAACTTTCGCGAATTGATAATTTTGGCCATTAAACTTTCGCGAATCGCAAAAGGCCTAAAATTTATTCATGAGAGGAATACCATACGATAGCTGAAAATATCGTATTGTGAGGTCTAGGCCTAGGTTAGATAGGCCTACAGCCACTGTCAGGCTACAATAGCTAGGCCTAGGCTAGGCGCCATAAGCCTGCAGCCTACCTCAGCTGTTAGGAGCAGGACTTAGCTGGCCATCCCAGGCACAGTTAAGAAAAAGACACAAGTTTATATACATCACAATATACTCACTCATATGATATTCCTAAATTTTGTATGGTACACAAGCATCCTACAATGAACAATATTTATTCCTGTAGGCCTAATATTGATTCAAACACATTGATTGATGATGACTGAACATCGTGTTATGTCAAGGTACGAAAATTAGTTTCTATTTTAACTTCTTAGTATATACTGCGCAGTGGTTGCACATGTGCAATCACATGCAGTGATGATCAGAACCTCCCTGATCAGTATACTTACTGAGTAGGTTAGAATAGGCCTAGAATTTACCATTTTTTTTAGCTCAACATTGGAATTTAAGGTCAGAATATTTATTCAATAATTGAAATACATTCTATTAGGTTTATACACATTTAATAAAATCCACAAAATAATTTAAAATACAATTTTTAAAATGTTGAAATTGTTAACTTTTCACAAACATGTTGCAATTTGTGGGGATTCCCCATTTAGGCCTAGTATAGGCCCTAGATCTGTATTGCATCGTTGTCGGCAAGTTTAGGCCTTGAAATACCGACAATTCTTGCTGTTTATTGTTCATTATCATCTTTAAAAAAGTTAAAATAAATTTTTGGTGTAATTTAGTGATTTATAATGACCAAAATCTTGTTTGTGAAACTGATTCGAGATTCATGATGATCAGATAGTATTCTACCGATCTTTTTTGAAACATAGAAAATGTGACCTGAAAATTATTCGCGGCATAAAATTTTCGCGAATTGGGACCATTCGCGAAATTCGCGAAAGTTTAATGCGCGCGAAATTTTCTGGTTTTACAGTAACTAACAAATTAAAATTATCATCACAACCTACTGATGTCAGAATTACAAATAAACTATAAATTGATTATAACATATAATATACATTATAACTATTTTCCTCATTCATATATGCATAGTTCTTACCTGGTTTCAGATCATAATGTATAATAGGAGGCTTGCGCTCATTCAGGTACTGCAGCGCCCTCACAGTTTGTATCATGATTGACCTTGCTTCTTTCTCTGGAATCAGTTTTGTTTGTTTCAAGTAGAAATCTAGATCTTTACCATCGCAGTATTCTAAGACCGTGCAAAATCTATGAAAATATGAATAATTAGTAATTTTGTTTACATCAAGGCAACTGATACTGTACTTTAACCTCAACAGGGTAACATCATGATCAGGCTGTGATTAAAATTGTCTCTTAGCATTTTGAAGTGTGAATATGCGAAGCAAGTCTGGACTTGGGTCAAATGAAGTGTAGAATAAAAAGTGTCATTTGTTAATTACTCTAAAGCAATACTCACGAGTTACTATCTATTTCAAAGACGTCAAACAGTTTCACAATTCTATTATGGTCTAAACTCTTGTGAATTTCATATTCCCTCAAGGCATGTCTGTAGACAAAAAAAGATAACAAAAAGTCAGTAATTTGGCAATCTGCTTGTAAGCTATGTCAAATTGTGAACTTGTATTTTAACCTGTAACATATACAGATGAAAGCTTTATTTTTATTGTTGAAGACGCAAACTAGGTAAAACTAGGGAAGAAAATAAGAAAGGAATAAATGGAGATGGAAAAGAAATATGTTACCATGAGAGAAATGAACATCATAAAGAAAATATATCATATTATTTATCAAAATAAAAAAAAAGAATAAACAGACTTGTGTGAGAAATGTATGAGCATGAGGAGAAATGACTATGAGTGAGAGATGAAAAAGAAATAAATTAAGATGAGAGAAATGAACAAACATCAGAAAGAAAATAGACATGATAAAGAAATGTATGGACATGAGGAGGAATGACTATGAGTGAGAGATGAAAAAGGAATAAATTACCATGAGAGAAATGAACAGACATCAGAAAGAAAACGGACATGATAAAGAAATGTATGGACATGAGGAGGAATGACTATGAGTGAGAGATGAAAAAGGAATAAATTACCATGAGAGAAATGAACAGACATCAGAAAGAAAATGGACATGAGAGAAATGTATGGACATGAGGAGGAATGACTAGGAGTGAGAGATGAAAGAGGAATAAATAACCATGAGAGAAATGAACAAACATCAGAAAGAAAATGGACATGAGAGAGAAATGTATGGACATGAGGAGGAATGACTAGGAGTGAGAGATGAAAAAGAAATAAATTACCATGAGAGAAATGAACAAACTTCAGAAAGAAAATGGACATGATAAAGAAATGCATGGACATGAGGAGAAATGACTATAAGTGAGAGATGAAAAAGGAATAAATAACCATGAGAGAAATGAACAAACATCAGAAAGAAAATGGACATGAAAGAGAAATAAATCCACACTGGGAGAAATTACTATAAGTGAGAGATGAAAAAGCAATAAATAACCATGAGAGAAATGAAAAAACATCAGAAAGAAAATGGACATGATAAAGAAATGTATGGACATGAGGAAAAATGACTAGGAGCGAGAGATGAAAGAGGAATAAATTACCATGAGAGAAATGAACAAACATCAGAAAGAAAATGGACATGAGAAAGAAATAAATCCACATGGGGAGAAATGACTAGGAGTGAGAGATGAAAAGTAATGAAACTCTCGCAGAAAGAAAATGGACATGAGAGAAAAATGTATGGACATCAGGAGGAATGACTATGAGTGAGAGAATTGATTTAATATTATGTCACAATAAATGAAATGAACATGAAATTGACACATTGAGAGTATAAAATAAACAGATATGGAAGCAATGAATGCAAAATAGAAATAAGAAGAAATTGTTACTTGATATAGTTAGCCTTTTTATCTTCTTTCCAGTCTTTATTCAGCTGGTGTATTTTACATGCTACGTATCGTTGCTCTTCAAGGTCGAATCCTTTGTGAACCTCGCTGAACCCCCCTTTGCCCAGCAGCTTCAGGAGAAGGTAACGTTTATGTAGCACTGGATTATCCTTGAAGCGGGACAGGTCTTCATTATGTATTCGTTTTAATTCACGTATATGCAAATTACGGCTACGTTCGAGTTTTTCTAGTTCAACTTGTAAGTCAGCTTCCTCCTGTAATCAAAAACAAAGATACAAATTTAAAGCCTTTTCATTTGTAAAGTGTGAAAATATTAGACATTTTGTATATTTGCTAATACCAGACTTTATAAATTACTGGTCAAAAGGTTGTAAGTAGGCTGGTATTTTTACGTAATTCTTTCACTATAGTGAACTCTAATGCTTGCCCTAGACTGGCCTAGAGGTTCTTTTATACGAAATAATCATAGTAAAATATGACCAATTTGATTTAGAATGACGTACTGTATACCAAAATTCTTTGTCAATCATATCTTGGACTAAATTTTTTCTTTATAAATTTTTGTGGACATAGTACCTACTAAACAACTCACAACTTAAAATGCCCCACAATTGTTAGCGGTCAGTCCCCTGTTAGAAAGCTTATCTCCTTTCCATGGGGAAAATCCTGGTGCCGAAGTATTTGTAAACTCCCCTGTAAGCCAAGGCAGCTTCACATTTCTTCAATGACTTGGGTGAGTTACTAAGCACATACATTAGAGATATTTACATTATTAAGCGCTCTACATGAAGCAGATTCTGCACAGTGTGTAGTACTGTACAAACATTACACAAAGAACATAATAGAATAAATGATTTTTGAAAATCACCTTTTTCAAGGCTTGCAGTCTGAGTTTCAGTATCTCATCCTGTTCATAGTATGCTTGTGCAGAAAGCTGGGGGACTGAGTTGGCTTTGGCATTGGATTGTGCCCCCTGTAGGTGAGGCTTCCGTTTGGTCAACAGTTTCTTTTGTCTGTCTATTTCATCTCTTTCTTGAGCTAGCCTTTCTTGTTGCCTGCAAATAAAAATAAATGCAGTGTAGGTTTAGCAGTTCATTAGTGTACACAGCACCTTCATGAACATTTGTTAAGGTGCACTCCAACCCTAGCTTTAAGGAGAGGAAAATCTGATTTATTCCATGTAAAATACACCCTTTGAATATTTAAAATACAAATATATTTATTGTCCGAAAAATGGAAATAACAAAGCTCATGGCTGGCAGTACAATACAATATCAAATTATCTTAAATACTTTAGATTGTAATCTTGTATGCCAGCTGGGTAGAAAGAGTACTTGCAACCATCCGTGCGCATATTCACCATCTTCATTCTACCACTCCTAACGGTGCCTATAATGTTGGCATTGAGCGGAATGTTTGTATCCTCCAATATAGTCTGAAACACCTTTGCAAACCGTTTGTGGTAGAATGAATCAAGTTTCTGCACACACGGACCAATTAAAGCAATTGGTAGCATGGCCTACCTAAAAATATCTGTGAAAGCATATCCGTCTTTCCAACTTTCTACAAACTGTGCACCTTGCCGTTGAGTGTTGAATTGGCCTAGCTTCAATCGATTTTCCATGCTGGCTTTACGTATTAACTTTTTCTCCTGTTGTGATTTCTCTAGTAGCAGGCTCTTGTTCATTGCTAAGCATTTGGCTAACTGTTCACTTTGTTTCTGCAGCTGATTCTGTGTCTCCTTAACTTTCTGTAAAACAAATTGAAGTTAAGTTCATGAGATAAATAAGGGCACATAGAAATGATAATGATGATCCTCAATCTATGAAACATGTGTACCATATTACAACACAAAAAACAACTTGAAATATGCGGGATGCGACTACACTTCTTCTTCCGTTAAGTTGCTGCCTTCATCTTGTTGAAGATTCTACAATTGCCTGGTGGTGTTTGGACAGTACACCGGGACACAATCCCCTACTCTTTTTTCTTAACATTCACATGGGCCATATTGCACACAGGACCAATGGCTTAAACATACCACCTGAAAGATGGTGCACTTTTGAATCTTGCAATTCAGGCCTCCAGCGAAAATACAAAGAGAGCATCGATGGGAATTGAACCGATGACCAAGAGATCATCCACGGTTCAGCGATAACTCAGTCGCTACCACAAGTTTAGCCAACTGAGCTGAGCTGCTCTCAAGCAGAACTCATTAAAGTGAAATATATTTCAGCAAATATTTTAACTTTCAAAACAATACACTGTAATGCTAGTACAATTATTACTCACTGCATTTAGTGTCTCCAACATTACATCTTTTTCTTCTAAACAACTCGTAGCTTTCTTTTCTAGATTTTCTATTCCTTCCATTGTAAGACTTGTCTGTAATTATAATTAAACAATTAAAAAATCTACTAGATTTTATACAGCTATAAAATAACCAAAGCCATGTAAAACACTAGCTTTAATGCTTACAAATTCCAAACTTATAACATACTACTATAAGATTTTTGTATTCAGAATATTCATATCCTTAATTAGCATATTTGCTCTGGTTTTCCTTATTAGCCAACTGTAAATATATTTTATAATTTATTAGCACAATATTCAAAACATTTTTACAAAGCTTTCATAGTAAAATATTGGCATACTCATTTGCATAAGAATATGTATTAATGTTTAAATTCCATGCTTTAATTTGCATAATGACATGGATTTCCAAGTAGTACTTTAGCATAATTATTACCATTTGCAAACCTATTAGCTGTCTATATTTGCATATTCATTTAGATAATTATTCATATTTGTATACTTGTTAACATACTTACTTGAACCTCTTTGGTAGATGTCTCTACACGGATTGATTGCAAGTGTTTCTGTTGTTGATATTGTTGTTGCATGTGCATCATATTGCTGCCATCGGCATGGTTACTGTTTGAGCCAGATGGGGACCCATACTATTAAACAATAATAAATAAAATTAATATTAACACTTATAAATAGGATGGGCTTACCCTGTTAAGAAAAAAAAACAGGTTATTCTTTTGGGGGCAGAAATTGGAATCACATACAAATATCTGCCATCCCATTTAAAAAGCCTTGATAAACAAAATTTGTTGATTTAGTTGATTGAAACACAAAATGTATGGAGGGCCAGTTTTTAGTTGTTTTGAACACAAAATGTATGAAGGGCCAGATTTTAGTTGTTTTGAACACAAATTGTATGGAGGGCCAGTTTTTAGTTGATTGCAATTCTTAATGTATGGAGAGCCAGTTTTTTAATTTGGTTGCAACACAAAATGTATAGAGGGGCTGTTTTGAGTTAGTTACAACACGAAAATGTATGGATAATAATTCAAGGAGTGGAAGAATGACTGATGGCACCTACTATTGGTACTGTTACATGGGAGGAAGGTGAGCGTGGGTGATTCATCATTGGTCCCACAGCCCGCCCTGGGCTGCCCGTCGCTGACGTCTACAAAATCAAACAGAAACTAATCAGTCAAAATCGTACAGGAATCAAAAGGAGGATGAAAACAACACAAGGGCAGTGGTGGTCTCTCATTACATCATATTGTTTCTAATTATAGATTGAAGCTGTAACTTGTTATAGGAGATGGTCTTGGGTTAATATCCATCAACTGCAGTGTTATTTGTTTTATCACGATAAAAAAACAAAACAAAACAAAAAAAACAGAACAACAGCATTAGACTATTAGCGTTGGTTTAATCAGCATCCTCTAATTAAAAACTGGCCTATCGGAACGTAGTATGCAATGGACCAGAAAAAGATGCATGTCCAACAACCTATAAGGTTACGTTAACCACCGAACACTCAGTCATGTCTACGAATGGCTGTGATTTTGTGGAACCGTAGTAACTATATCCAAGGGGCGCGGTTTAGCGAAACAGTTTGATGATGTGCAAACTTGGGATGTGAAAGTTCATACAAAATTATATTAATTATAAAAAAAAAGCTTCTTACCCGGAAATATTCATTGATTTTTTTACCTGCAAGATAATTAGAAAGTAAAGTGTAAGTACATTTCACCTGAATAATGGATTTTACTTATTTTATGTCATTTAAACTTTTCATAATGCATATTTTTTCTAATTTAAAGTGATTTCTCTTGTATTTGGAACAGTAATAGAAAACACTAATACTTAAGGCAATTATGAACATACCCTGTATATTATCATGGCTTTCCTGTATTTTACGCTTTCTTTTAGATCGGGAATCCTTCTTGTCTGGTGTTGTCAATGGTATAACCTATAGTAAATATATAATAAACTTTGTGAAATATCTAAAAAATATCTTTATTAGTAATCAAATTTGAATGAGATACATTATTGAAGAAATATAGTTTGTCACAGACTTAAAGATGAAAATATATTCTTGTTCTACATAAGTCAGAAATCTAAATATTTAATTTTAATGTTCAAGGCATGGTGATGATGAATACAAAATGATGATGACCAAAGATAGCAATAATTGTACACTGGATAATGAGGATAATGATAATAATGACTAATGCTGACAAACTGATCAGGATGATGACAATGAGGATGATGATAATGCAGATGATGATGATGGGATGATAATGATACTCAAAAATATGATGATGCAGCTAATACTATAATGATGATGACAATAATGAGGATGATAACAATAATGCCAATGACAATGATGAGAATGCCACTGATTATTATTATGGCGATGCTTTACTGCAATTAATAATAATGACAATGATGCTTATGATAATCATGATGATGAATACTTGACTCCACCTCCAAGTCTCTGTCTTCGTATGAACTTCGACTACTGTTGTTTCCAACACTTAGATTTGAGTCGTCTTTGATGATGACAACAGGCATGCTTTGCCTGCTGGTACCTCCAGACATCCTCGCCTCTAAGAGCTCAATCTTCTGCTGATCCAGCTTACTAAAGTCTGCCATCCTGAAACAATCCAATAAAAGACATATTCTTACTAAATTTAAATAATTTCAGAAAAATACTATGCAAATTGTGTGGAAGGTTAAATGTGAGGTCAATGTTGAAAATCAACACAGAAATTAGGATTAACTCCCCAGTTAACCAGCAGTGAAGATAAATAAATTCAGAATTCAGGTGAATTATACAAATATTATGCAAGAATAGAGATCAGACCAATTTATGATATTAAGTGAACTGACCTAAACTAAAGTACCTCAGCCTATGTGGTGCTTGGATTAATTAAATGTATTCTATTCTTCTTTTTTTTATTTATTTTATTAAAAACAACAATTAAAAAAATATTAATGTAACTGTAAATTTATCTCACTGTAGGTACTGTAAGGTGTGTAAGTCTTTAACTTATATTTTTGCAGATCAGCAAATTAGATCATAAATTTGTTCTTGATGGAATCATACAATCAATGTTTTGATATCAATATTATTAATATTATTTATATTATTACAATATTTTATATTTTCTGATGAACATAATTTTGGCAAATCAGAAAGTTTTAAAATTCAAGGTATTGAAAGGTCAAACAGAAAATACTGAATGGCAAAAACTATCAACTCTAAAAATGTCAGTCAGATTCCAAAAGACCTAGGCGTAACAATTACTATATTATATGAAAACAACTACTACTACTTAGACTACTGTACTAGCTAGGCCTAGTTATTGTGTCTAAATAGAAAATTAAACGATGGACCTGTTCATTTGCGTTTTAATTTAGATGAAGACTGAAGAGATGTCTAGACCCTAGTAATTAATAAGGCCTAGGTAGGAGGATTACCCTTGATTAGACTGCTAAGCTTATGATAAATACTGATCTTGCAATATCAAACATACGCCGTCGGAATGCTCACTAACCTAGGCCCCTAGAACTTATCTCAGGCCCTGCGCTGCTGGGAATACGCCTACAGAACGTACTATAAAACTACTTTCTAGCTTCAGCATGTCTAGCCTAGCCTAGGCTCAAGACATGCTGCTGCTGCTACATCATCATACAAACAAACAAAACAGGCATTGTCGGCGCGGAGGACACAGTTACACTATACAATAAATACAACAATGGCAACCTACCACTAAAACTATTATGGGAAAGCTACAACTACATAATGATAAGTACTACTTTAACAAATTATGTTCTTACAAACATAATGTGAATAACAGGGCAACAGACACTCATTACGCCATGACACTTTCCTTGCGCCACCTTTGACTAGCCCTGGTCACATTCGTGATTACAAGGGCCTACGAGCAACAAAGTTACATGGAATCCGAGACCATGCTTGACCAATTTCGTCAATTTACTCTCAAAATAGCTATCGTAAGTTACATGCTTAGCAATTTCATTATTATTTTTTACAGTACCTTGAATTCGAAGTGCAAACTTTGCTGTAGTAACCCCATAAAAAAGCTCACAATGTAAGTTATCAAATGTCTGGGTCATCATTAAGTGGTAGCGACCATGTTGATGTCTGAAACCGAAGCATAAATGACGTCATCTTCGGCATTTATCGGTATTCCAAGGTCAAATTTAAGACACCGTGGCAAGGGGTCACCAGTCATCAGTTATCGATAATGCAACACAATTCCGGTTTTATATTGATTTTCATACTTCCATATATCGTGCTACGGTACATCTTAAGTACCATCAATTTTTTTTTTCTTTTTAGAAATAAGTTCATTTTTAAACAGATGCCTATTATCATCTCGGGGAGGCGGAAAAGTAGATACTCCAATAATCCTGTTTCCTTTTCAGAGAGCACGAATTTTATTCTATGGGTTCCCCACGGACCTTTATTTATGATTTATTTACGCAATTATGATTAAATCATCATATTGTTCTTGATTGCAAATTCTATGGTGGATGTGCTTTAGCTATAATAGTTTTGTAAAGTGCACCATATTTGCATGTGTCGTGCATGTTCTCAAGGAAAAGTGATTGCTGGTATTTGACTGTTTAGGCCAAATAAAATTAATTGTTAGTTTCAGGTCCGGGATTTGAAATTATTTTTGGTGAGGGTATTTACTATTTGCTTTTTACTATACTAATGGTAAACATGCTGGTACGGTAAATAATAAAAAATAGGTATTTTTTTAAAAATAGCAAATATTTTTTTTTCATGAGGCAGCTCCAAAATTAAGATGAGGGCGGGGACGTGAAACTAGTAATTAGTTTTATTTGGCCTTATAATAGTTTAATCCCAGTTTCTACTACTGAATTGATGGCGTACACGACATTTCACTTCCTTAGTGACTTAAAACGTTCTAAGAAATCCATTCATTTATTTATTTGATCTTTTATTCATTGTTCAGTCATTCTTGTTATTTAGGTAATTCATTTATTTATTTAATCTTTCATCATTCATTAATTTATTCATTCATTCATTTTCATTCATTCATTCATCCATCCATTTATTCATTCATTATCTATTCATTTTTGGTCCCCTGGGAGTTACGAGTTTTCAAAAAATAACCCCGGTTTATTTCCAAGCAACATTGAATGAGTAATTACACCTCTGGTATGAAAAAATTCCCACTTTACTTTACACGGAGACTGGCAATATCATAACAGGTCATCAGTCAAATAGTAATAGTTAACAATGTCAATTCGTGTAGGGTACACTGTTTATCAAGAGGGCTGAAATCACTAGCTCAAGGGTCCGACCTCATAGTGTTTTTTAGTACTGATGTGAAATAAATAACTTGGAAATGAGAAAACACATTCTAAAATGACGCCTGATAACACAGTTAATTAGCTTGACGCTCTCACTCTGGACATTATTTTTTGTTTACTTGTTATTTTGTATCGTGATACCATGGAGCTCTGATTAGTTCTATGCTGATACAAAGCTTAAACGGTATAGCGCCATCTAGAATAAGGTTCCGGGGAATTCCCAAGTTATTTTCTCTCTGTTTAGTCTGACCCCAGCACTTTAGCACTCCATTTTACGATTCAAGGCTGGGGTAAGGTACAATGCGTAGGCCTTTTTCTTGTTTAAATTAAGTGTTTTAGTCGGCATAATGCAAAAATGTTGTATGGTAATCAAGTTTGTTATTGAAAGAGGTTCTTCTGAATGGTTTCATAAGCTACTTTTGACTGCTGACGAAACAACACAGACAGAGGCGTAGCCGCGCAAGCATATTTGTATAGGCCCTATGTTCATATAGAACTCAGATCGACAACTATGATTTTAGGCCAACTCAGCGCGGCCATTTTTTTGTGATGCTTATGCTATTAGTGATACGACCTTATTAAGTTATTTACTGACCTCTTGCTCTTGTGTAAACCAAGCCAATGGGATTATTATATTTTATACTGGATACTTCCTGCGCTTTTAAATATACTAAAAAAATAGACGGAAATGCATTACAGCTAATAGTATAGTTCATTGCCTTTCTTTATTTCATTGGCATTAGGCCTACAGAGGAGACACATGGTGTGATTGTTTTCGGTTCCCTCTCTTATGATCCAGCACCCTCAAGTCCTCACCTTTTGATCACAGAAATTATAACGGTCGTCATTTAGTAAAGGGCCCCCCCCCCCCCCCTTTTGTTGTTTTTTTAAAGGTTTCATAATTTCACGACCAAGAAAGGCGCATCTGTTTTGAAATTCTTTGGGTTGGGGAGTGGGGAGAGATCAGCCGTGATTCCACACCCGAATATGAGAGAAATAGCACTTCTAGATGGCCAGAGATGACACTCTTATTATAGGCCATAGTAGAATTCATTATCATATCTAAAAAGTGAAGCTCCAACAGACTCCCAATGATCTTTATCAGAAACATTTAACACTTGTTTCATTGGCATTATAAAATAATTAAAGACCACCTCCAATTAAAGACTACTTTTTTTGTGGTCCCGACCGAATAAATTCAAATCAAATCATGCCTTTTATTTTTATTGTTCAAATTAGACCAAAGCTGCTAAAGACCATGGAAACCCGGTTGCAAAGGAGGGAGACCTGTAATTACGAAAATTGTGCAAGCTTCGTAGCAATGATTTTAATTCAACAGTATAGAACTGCTGTAGAAAACTCTTTTCTTAAAATTTAGTCATTTGTAAGGTTCATTTCAACAATATTCATGTATGCGCATCTTCTTAAAATTTGTAGGGGGACGTGTTCCCCATGATCGGCGCCCATGCACGACTGATTAAAGATAGGTTTGGCGCCACCGGGCACGAGTAACGAGTACAAGGTTTGTATTTCCCCCCTGACTTTAGTGTTTAATACTCAATAAATAAAAAGACTGTCACATTAGGATCCTTTTTGTTTAGTGCTGCCACTACGAAGATGTTTTACAGTATTTCATGTTTAATCACCATTTGGACACAAGGTCCTCTTTCATTTCTTTAGCCCACTGGCCCATACGAATAGAAACACACACATGTTTTCATGCTACAGAACAAAGTACCAGGGCTGTCTCTTATACACATCTAGATGTGTATAAGAGACAGTATCATAACCGGTATAATACATGTATAAAGTACCATACAGTATTAAAATCAATTTTCTCCAAAAGCAGAGAAATAACATTTTTGCTAAATTATTTTGACTACGTTCATTTGTTAACAAATCAAAATATTTCTGCTATGTGACATTGTTATAATAATATTTTCCCAAATAAATCTCACGAAGATTACTATGGACACTGTAAAACAAAGCGGAATTCATTTTCTACACAGTTAAGTTAATAGCTTGCAAAGCTTATATGAATCTACTTTGCTAAAGGAGTTAGCATTAAGACATGTTTAATAAAATATATGTTCGATAAGATATATTGTTGTATTCTAATTTTAGACACAGATGTTTACGATGATGATCATCACTCGACTGGTGGTGACAGTGTCTGTAGCAATATTTTTTTTTTGTAGATTTTTGAAGATATATTAGATATGATAACTGGTGGTGACAGTATTTGAAGCAATAGTATTTCGTAGATTGTTTTTAGCTCTACTAAATAACAATAATATTTTCACCCATTATAATGCCCCTGGCGACGACCCATGGTCCAAAGGAGGAGAAAAAAAAAATTCAAATTTCATTTCGCTTACCTGGGATGGCGTTTTGAATCAATCACTGATATTGCAAGACTTTAAAAACCCTTCCCCCTCTCCATTTTAGAGCCTGGTTATTGATATTAAGTTATCTTGTTTTGCAGAAATGACAATAGAAATTTAACAGCAAGAGTTTAAAAAAAGGAATAATTATGGATCGTGAAGACGAACTTCTAAGATCCCAATATCAAACTCTTAAGGATTTAGGATTATTCAGTGAACCAATAGAGCGATATGTTAGTAGGAACGAAGATGATGGGTACTTATGTGATACACAGCAAGATAGTAAGCCTAATCAAGTCGACTATCAGGGAAGCCCGAAACGGTACGATTCAGAGGAATACCTCTGTGACACACAGGACAATGCTAGGGCTTTCTATCACTCTCCACCCCGTTCTCCAGTTAATGATTTCCGGTTTAAATCTCAACAATCAGATGATGATAATGGTTATACGTCACCAGACAACGATTCTGATAATGACGATGACGTACGACCACACAGAACAAATCCTGCGTATGATTCTGACGAAAGTACGTCCTCTTTGACCCATGCCAGACACTTTCCTCAATCATACACCTCACCAGAATGCTCCCCGTTACAACCGCGGAGAAATTCAAAAGCCACTTCATCATCAGTGATTAATGATGATTTGGATGAAGAGGACCTGTACAGTCCTAGTGCCGACAATGATCCAGCGTTTGATGCTAAACTGATTCACAGGGCTGTTGGTCTGGACCCTTTTCCAGTTGGAAAGACTGGTCTACCAGTAAACTGGACCGATTCAGCTTTAGCTTTCCATAAAGTAGTTGAACTCCATGCTGGCAATCCAGAATTCAATCAAATATATTCCACTATTGGTGATGCTGGTATTACTGTAGAGAATATCGAACGAATTGAAAACAAATCCCTTCTTGATAAGTTTCTATTGGAAATCGATCATATGAAAAAAAGAAGAAAGTGTTCTGACGAAGGTAAAGTTCGAAATGAAGAATTTTTAAAGATCTTAATCGTAATAGCATCATAAT